AAGAAAAACATGGTTTTACTCTGTGATACCTGGTGCAAACTGTACTGTGTGATCCTGAGGAATGAACAGGGGGATAAATAAACTGCCCAGCTACGGTGAAATTGTCGCCTTGGCGGGATGCTGGCTGTAGGTGACACACATCTGTGGCCATTGCCCCCTCTACCATTTGGTAATGTTGATAGAGGTTGCCCTGCCAATAACATGTTACTGAATGTCTCGTGTGATTTTACACACAAGGTACACTCTTACACACATGGACATTAGGTCATTTTCCTGTAATTAAGAGCAAAGATGGCTGCAAATCAAACCAGAAGTTTCTACACAATGCCACCCCAAGTCAGCCCCCTTTTGCATCTGTTATGAGACAGCCATTAATTAACATGACCTGGTGTCATTCCTTCTTTGGGATATTGGCCTCCTTCAGCGCACAGGACAGACTGCGCATTGGGAATGGAGGAAGGGATGTCTACTGTAAGAACCTGCTGTCTGCAAGAGCCTTGACTTGGTGTGCATGGAAAGAGAAAAGGGGCTGGATTGATCAGGAGGGAAATCAAGTGATAAAATAGCCAATCTGCCTGTTACCACCTCAGACAGAGGGCTGACTGAATATGAGGTAGCTTTGCCTGTCAGCAGCTTAAACGTGCATTCACAGATTAGCCTCGTATAGAGTTAGAGCCCAGGTCTGGGTTTGGAGATGAGCTGACGCCTGATCAGGTAAATGCAATGTCTACCTGTTTTGTTCAGGGCCATCCAGAAGAGAAATCTGTCTGTGCTGCTGCCGCTGCTAATATGCTGACAGTGCTAGTCTTGCTTATTTATAGCTATACACTACTTCCAAAAAATGAGAGCTGAAACCTATGCTGCAGCAGAAGTGCTGCAGCTGAGGCATTCTGCTTACAGGAAGGACTTCAATGTAAAAATTATCCCCATCCTTGGCCAGCTTGAAGACAGAAATGTCGTGACGACCTGGACATCACTACAGATGCATGTGAGTGCGAATGTGTAATGTTGCGGTTGCTGCAGCACAAAGAGGCACGGCATCTGCCCTGCAGAAGGTGGGGCCAGCATGCTTACAGTGCACCCAAGCCTAACTTCTGAACTGGGTATCTGGACCTCAGAGGCATGCAGACGTGAATTTCAGCGTTCACCTCCTGAGAAAACACCTTTACGGTCACAGTACCGCTAACGGATCATGCGAGCAGTCTACCAAAACCTCTTCTGTCGCTCCCCCTCACTTCTCAAGCGCTTCCATTTGATCTGTGGTAACCAGTTTTGAACTGTGCCAGTGGCACCCAACAGCTGACACATTCAGCCAGAAGTCAGTCAAGAAAAATACAAGATTTTGCTTGCTTGCTTGCTTGCAGAGCTGATGCTGCAGCTCAGTATATGTGGGGGCGGGGGGCGTTGATGATTTTGCCTGGCTGCCGAGTGCCAGAGCCACCGGTTGAATTGGGCACAGTAACCATAGTAACGGCGAGTTTCCGGGACTCGGGGTGACAGGTTGACGGGATTACTCTTCAAAGCACTTGCTCCCTTGGGAGAGGAGACCTAAAGGAAGGGGATGGGAGTTAATTTAGCGCACACACTAGAGCAAGGGTCAGCAGTGGCAGGGGGCGCGGGAGGGAAGCCGGCAGCAGCAATAAACAACTCCCTTTCACGGAGACTTTGACGAGCACTGAAATTGCCGTAGGAGGCATTCGACAAAGAAAAATGGGGGACACACAAAAAGTGACAGAACTCCCTTCTAAGGGACAGTCGCAACCAGCACCTCCTGCATGTTTCAAACCTGAGCCTCTGCTTTGCTGTGCCGGCTTTACCCTGTCCTGCCGCTCCTGCCAGATGCGGCTGGCCGGGCCGCCTCTGGGAGGGCCATGGAAGCGATGGGGAAGCTGGCGGGGGGAGGCAAGCGTGACGGTGGGTGTGATAGGAAAGGGTGTGAGGTGCAGCTGTGGGATGACATGTTTGGACGGTGGGGAGAGTGAGGCACGGGCACGGCTGTAGTAAGAGGTAGGCAGGTAGAAGGCAAGAGGGTGCTTGCACTGTAGTGTGATGCAGGGAGAAGGGAGGCATCGTGGCAGTGGAGGGGACAGGAGAGAAGGCTGTCATGTCCTAAGGCTCATTGCCTCATTGCCGTAAAGCTATCAGCGGGGTCTGAAATTAAGCTCTTTTTAGAAGTGCTTTTTCTTGTGCAGTCATTTTAATTTCCTTGGACTGCAGTGAGCAAAAGGCTGCTCTCCTGTCTGCCCTTCTGGCGAGAGAGGTGCATGACAGCACTGTCTCAACGTGTTGGTAATTTCTGGCTAATAAAACTGCCCTTTGGGCCATGGTTAACAATTAGACCGACGCTGAGGGTCAGGCCCTGCCCAGTACCAGAAAAGTGTAAGAGTAATTTAAAGCTGTTATTTTTTCCATCTGTTCCTCCTAGTGCTGGATGGGAAGATCGAAACCACACAGGGGCAAACATTTCTTATCTTCCCACAGCAGGTGGTAGCCAACTGCACTGAGGCCCAGGTACACTCTACCTGCCCATTCCTGTAAGTCATACGGAGAAGTCAGCGTCTCCACAAGCTCCGAAAACATCTTTGGAGGCTGCCTGGCCCCAGTAGTTCATGGAGCTAAGGATGGGGGTTAGCTCCAGGACCTGACTGCTGGGAACCTGGGTGGCCAGACCTCTACTCACAAGCAATGAATGCTTAATACTGTGTAATTTCTTTTACAATGTTTCTTTTTCCCCCATAGTATGAAGAAGACATATGCATGCCTGGATGGCAGAAGTCTGATGTGTAGTCTGCAGGCCAAAAAGGCATAAATGTCACTGTGCCTTCCGCTGACGTGGCTTCTGGTCCCGAAAAAACAAGTGGTGCAGGCAGAGATGTCCTACAACAAAAATACAGAAGATGGAAGGGTGGATGCAATCGAAGTGCTGACACAAGCTTAATTATTGCACTGCAGAAAGGATAAATTTATGAAAAATGTAATGTGGGAACAGAATATTACTATTATCTTCTGTTAGCTACTTAGAGGTGGCTGCAGGACTGTTTCCATCTTTTTAACTGCAGCTCTTTTACTACCTTTAGCTTGGTCCTTGCTTCCATTGCCCTTCCCCCCAGAGATGCTTTGCAAAACTATAGGCAACTGCATGAAATCTGAAGCAACACTGTCCCAGGAACTTCTACTTAAACCAGTGGGAGGCTGAAAGCAGCTATTCCAGGCTCTTGAAATGGGGAAACCCGGGTTCATCGGTTCTTCGCTGTCACACGGTGCACGTCTTCGTTATCCTCCAGCCCCTTCAATTGCGAAACACAAAAGAATCAACTTGGAAAAGGAGCCTTAGTTGAAAGGCTTCATGTAAATGAAAATTTAATTATGGTGAAACCACCTCAGAGAGTACGCCCTCATTTCACCTGTCCCATTTTGCCAGTACCTCAGCCTTGAGAAAGCTGGCAGAAAGAAGAGGACCTATGCTGGGGCACACGGCAGTTTGGGGGAAGACGGCATCCAGGCTCAGGGCCCTGCTTTGTGCAAAGCAGCATGTACGCACCGCGAGCGCGCCAGCCAGGACTCTGCACATACCGCACGCAACGCTGACCTTTCCTGTCATCCCTTCTTCCTTGCCAGCAACTGCACAGCAAAGCGCCTTTGCTTTCAGCTGCGGAAAAACTGTTCCTGCTTCTCCCCACCTCCAAAATAGAGGGCGGGGAGGCAAGGAGAGATTTGGCTGGCAGATTTGCAGTTTAGAAAGGCACAGTCAAGAGGGACGCATCGATTTCCTTTGCACCGCCAACAGAGGAAAAAACCCCTAAGTTTAAGCCTCCTCAGCCCGCGGCTTTGGCCACCCCTTTAACCCGTCTTCTGGAAGGAGGGCAAGCTGCTCCCCCGCGGGCTTCCCCTTCGCCTCACGCAGCACGCCCGGGGCCTCGCTGCTGCCGCCCGCCGCGGGGAAGCGCTCC